GATGCCAACCGGTCGTTGGACGATCCCTCAAAGATGAATTGCTTGTCTCGAAGTCCTGGCGGAAACCCTAAACCCTTGTATACTACGCGGAAGTAACGTGGATTCGAACGTTCGCCCTTTGCAATACTTTCGTGAATCTTTGCCATAGCGTGCTGTGTACGAGCCAACTTGGCGAAGTCGAATATGTTGTGTTCATACTGGGCTGCGAGCTCCGTGTAGGCGGCTAACGCATTATTCCATGACTGTCCGGTTTCGTAGTGATCGATCATTTGGAAGTATAGCTGCTCTTTACGTTCAAACGCAGGCTGCGGCGGCATGTTGGGTTCGGTCAGCGGATCCACAGTCGAGTTCGGATCCCATTCGTAAAGCTCGGCATGTAATCTGAGCGCAAGGCCTGCTTCCGTGTAGTTTCCCGCATCCACCTGCAATTCCACAAGCTGATGCACATAACGGATGTAGATATCTTCTTTCTGCATGTCCTTCAGGAACTCCATAAGATGCAGAGTGTCCATGATGTGGAAGACTTCACCAGCTGCGTCGGTGCTATGCACAGCAACGAGAAGGTCCAGTAGCTCATCTATGGTCGAAATAAGGTCTTTCAAAGCTGCTAGCAATGGTTCTTCCGGATCCTGAGCAAGAGGCTCGAACAGTTCTACCAGCTCCTGGATGAAGTGCTTTTGCAAAACCGCCTCGGTCAAGTGTTTCGTTTTGAAGAGATTGTCCAGACAATCGATCATCTCGGCTTGTACAAGAGCAAGATCCTCGCTGAGCGTCCATTCGCTGATAATCATCGTTTGCAGCACTTCAATGGCTACACTGCGAAGGCCCTCATGTACACTGAGACAGAGCTCAACGATAGGCGCAACAAGTCCGGGCACGTATTGCACTTGGAAACCACCCATCTTTTCAAGCCCGTATTGACCCTTATCTTCAGCGCTGGCCTCCCAACCAATCGCTTCCCAGCTACGTTGTAGCAGGTCGGCGCCATGCTCGCGAACATCGCCAGCAATCTTCCACACAGCGCGTCGTTTCTGCTCCGGAAAAGTCTCAAGCGCGAGAGCATCGCTACCGACGAGTTTTAACAGCGCATCGAAGAAAGCTCGCCAGAGTTCTGTATTGAAGCTGTCGGCCTCGTCAGGGAGTGGGAGGAAAGAGTCATGCAATATGTTGAAAAGCTTCTCTAATGCACGCATGGTGGCTTTATGATGGTAGATGTGTACACTCAACCATGAGCTAGGGTAAGCCTCGCAATCCAGAATCGATATGTAGACCTGCAGTACGGTGAAGATAAACTCTGCTGATTCTTCCTTGGGCAGCTCGGGCTGCAAGAGGATAGGCAGGCTAGACATAGCGGCGAGCACAGCTGATATCTCGGCCATTGCCTCGTCAAACGGAGCTTCGGCAGTCGCCGCTCGTGATTGGAATGGATAACTCGTTGGGAACAGCAGCGACAGTGTCTTCTTAGCCGGCCGAGGGGTGGCTTGAATTGCGCGGTATGAGTCTACAAGCTTTGGCATGTACTCGCAAGCTTCTTTTCCTAGCTCTTCAACCTGCGACGCAACCACAGAACAGCAGAGACGGACTTGATCCTTCCACTGGTCGGTGACAGTCTCCACTCTACCCCAGTACGGCGCTAACCACTGAACAGTACTTGCTAAAAGCAGACGACGTACGTCCGGAGACCTGAAGATCTGAAGGTCAGAGAGGTGGTGTATTAAGAGAAGCTTGTAGAGAATCAGCTTTCCCTGTACTTTGGAGCATGAGTCAACGAAGCCTGCCGTAAGCTTGAAGACTTCTGTGGCCGGCATACATCCGTCAAGTTCGGGAAGCCACGAGTGAAGGTTCTGTACGAGGAGGGTTTTGGTTCCGATGAGAACAGGCGAGGGATTTTCCATCAGCGCTTGCAGCGATGTAAAGAGGGTCTTCATCTCTTTACTGAACTGAGTCCGATCCTTGATGCCAATGCTCTCTTCTTTCGCTTTCTGCTTCTCCCGTGCGTTGACCAGGAACTTCATGATGAGTTTGCCGACTTTGAACGTGGCGCGCAATCGTCGAGAAATCTCGGAGTCTGTAGGTTTGGCGAGAAGTCGACCGAGGCTTTGCATCAGGCACGAAGTAACAAGAGAATGGAACACTTTGGTTCGCGCATACTGGTCCACCAGAGGCTCAAGGTTGAAGCGTCTGTCGTGTACTATGCCTAGTACTATGACAACGGCATTGAAGACCAGATCCTCATATTCGTCACTACCGGCGTAATGGCTTTGAATGGCGAACAGGGCATCGAAAACTTCGCTCAGCAGCTTGACGATCTCTATCTCTGGAACAAAGTTAAAGCGGCGCAACAGTCCTACAAGCTCTCCTGGTGGTTGCTCCTGCCACTTGATGAGACCCAGGATAGTCGGATCTTGAGAGTATCGTGTACTGCACAGGAAGGTCTTGACATGAACAGATGCCATGGGGCCCATGACATGCTCGTCCTTCTTCTTAGCACTCCATGGCAGACCAAGGTATGCACCTTTGCCGGCAATCATACCCGATGTGTATTCGTCGTATCTGTACAGCGTTAAAGCATGGTCGCCATCACGAGCAAAGGCGTCCTGATTCCAAAGAGGCATCCAGCAAAGGGCAAATGGAAATCCCGGCGCATCGGCAACGCTCATGACTAAGTGTGACCCGGGTACGTCCTGGGGGTCAATAGCAAGACGGATTGTCGAGTTCCAGCCCTCGCCGCGCTGGGCTGCTGTGGTGCGCCAGGCTGTATGGCCTGCGCTGTTAGTTGAAGGGTAGATGCATCCCTCAATGCGCTCTCCAGAGCTTTTCCGGACCTCGATCGTGAGTTGGAGGTTAGTCATTGGAGAGGTCTGCACCAGCGGAACGCTACCAGTCTTCGGGTGAGCCAGGAACGCGTTTTTTGGGAGGAAAGGCTCGACAAGCGTGAGGTAGATGTCACTGCGTGGCTTGGTTGGCGCACCTGAGAATCCAATCTTCCGACATTGCCTGATGTTGTGCAACATGGTGGGGATCTTCTCAATCAGACCCTCGGCATCGGCGTGGACAAAGGCCTTCAGGTGTATGGTAAGTCGGCTAATGTGCGCGCTCAACTTGTACTTGCCACTGGCGCTTGGGTATAGTTCTGTCAACACGCTGTCCCAACCCCCATCACTCTCTAAGATGTCTTCTCCAGCCACTGCAGTGCTGTACATCCTGACGGTTTGGTCCGCCTCTGACTTGGATTGTAGTATCTGATTCACAGATGCTACGCCGACTGCAACAGACCTCTTGAGTGTCTTCTGGTCTCGAGAGAGAGCCCGGGCTCGTGTGCTTGCGGTTGCTGAGGAGCCTGGCCGCGTATCGGAATTCTGCGATCGAGTCTGTTCAAGGCTTGGGCGGCGGCGTTCATCCGAAGAGTCTGTATGCCGTGATTCGGTGTGTCGGGAGTTGGTTGATTCCTTCCTCTTAGAGCCAAACATCACGCTGCGCCTTCCACCCTTGATGCTGCCTTGTTGTGAAGGCTGCACTGTAGACCCTTTGCTTGGTGCTGTATCCTTGCTCGTGCCTACCTTTTCTGCTGCTGTTGTTGTCGCCGAACGAAGTGGCTCGTTTGTCATCAGCCTGAAGACGAGATACAAGGTAGTACCTGATCCTGCGCCTTCGCCAATGTCGGTCAGACTGAGGTCTACAAGCAATGCGCGGAGTTTGTCGCCGCTCAAGGACACTGCTGCTCCGTCTCGCCCAGTCAAATCAAAAGAGTACGCCTCCGAAAGTGGTTGTGGTGCTGACCCCGGCGCCTTCAGGCACAGATACATGCTGATCTGAGCCGCACATTGTACGACGTCCCCCACCACGTTTTTCAGGCTGACGAACAGATGGTGTAGGTTGTGCTCATCGACCTGAGCTGTTGGTCTGCTGTCCAGCAAACTCATCATGGACTGCAGTTTCGTAACTTCAATGGCCGAGTCGTCGCCCGTCAGGATGCGGCCACGCTGCGAGGGGCTGCGCACAATGACATCCCCACAGAGCATCTTGTTGCCCGCCACGAGGTCCCAGACGGTCGCTTCGCGTACCTTTTCCAGCTCTTTGGCCGTGAGCACCTTGTGCAACAGCTGGCGGCGTGCCGTGTCCAGGCGGTTCACTAGCCTCGACATCTTGTCCAACGAACCATACTTGCGTGCTAGCAGCAGCTCGTGTACCTTTGTGGAATGCCATTCTCGAAGGCAGGACGCGATTTCGTCGACCAATGGCTCTTGGGCTGATGTAGGCGTCTCATCACCAATCTTCAGCATGGGCACGGGCGCGGGCGGTCGGGGGGCGGTCGGGTCTGATATCGGTGAGAGAGGAAGCATTAGTTGCTGGAGGTGTTCTTCGCGGGAGGTCCATTGCGAATGGGTGCTGCCAGCGCGCTTTCGGGCAGACTTGCGCCGTGACAGCGGGCGGGTCAGGGATGAGGGCAGCACAGAGACGGTGTCACTCTTCGAGGCTCGTCGCGCATTGGGCCCGGAGCCTTTTGCAAAAGGAGAGGTCGCGCGTGTGCTTTCGGTAGGCGTAACGATGCCGTTGGTCGGATGCGCGTACTGACTTCCACGCCCTGAATCGTTCGCAGCTTCTTGGTTCGCCGTGTCCTTGCCTTCTCCTAGCACCTCACGCACCTCGACGCATGCCCGTGGGAATATGCCAGAGAATACGCGTGCTTCGAGTGTTTGGCCCTTCACACTCGTCAAGCCGGCCAGCAGCGAGGGCGGCGCCACCAAGTATCCTCGATACCATGATCCATCCTGGCCACCCTGCTCGATTATGTACAATTCGTCACCGATCTCGAGGGGTAGGTCGGCGGGCGACGAGGGCTGGAAGGGGTATATGCATATTGCGAACGCGATGCGCGGGAGCGGTCTCCAGCTCGGCATGGCACCAGACGTGTCGGGCTATATTGGGGGGAGTCGGCGACAGAGCATCACGAGCAGTTGACGGTAGGTTGTATGTTTCGGGGGCTCTTCCAGAGAGTTTCAGATTCGGGTGCCGATGGGTGCGCTGCACAGGATGCCCCTGATGGGATTACCGATGGGAAATCTGGGGATGCTGTCCAGAACCTTATTACAGTCAGCGGGGCACGTCCGACGTTGAAGCTGAGCGAGCGTTATTACAATATGGCTTTGGTAGTGCAAGGGCAAAGGCTCGCGTGTCAGAAGAAATTATGTACAGCAAACAAAAGTTTCGTCGTAGACAGCAATGTTGATAACTTTGACTGCGCCATTCGGTAGCAGCCGTGCATGCATGGCGCTCGGGGCACAGGCTTCGTATCATCGCCAGCATGGCCCTGGCCTCGAGTGTTGGATATCATCATCACATCGACGCGTTCCAAGTCAATGCACCGAATATGTGTGCATCTCCCCCGTGAACTTGCATCGGCCCTTGACTCCGTCACGTTCTACATCTGACAATCTGACCGTTTTCGCAACCACGTATCCGAACTCGAAAAGCAGGGGAAAGTACAGCCGGTGTTTAATTGGTGAATAACCTTTGTTGCACATCTCCCGCCTGTCTTGGCTTCATTTTGGGCCACCAACCTTCGAAAGCACGGGCGCCTTGCTTCTAACTCCACTCCACACCCGGCCAACGTTCATTCCAGATCAAGCGACGGTCCGAGCACGCTAGATATATCTCCTACATGACACGAGTTGCGTATCTTTGTTCGTTCGTCTCCCCTTGCGTCCTTTGCCTTTCACGTTCGTCAACATGCGATCTCCACGCACAGAGCCACGAGATGAAACCGCGCCGGTGGAGCCACCTCAGATGGGGCTGCATACGCCGCAAACATGCGCGTCGTGGCAGGGCAGTATGGCGGTGCACTAGTGGCATTTTCCGTTAAGGGTTCGCTATAGCGGCCACAGCTCCTCATCACACGACCGTGAACGCCTCTCTGGCCGACCTTAACACCGTTGTACCACCATCAAAACACCGAGACAGCTGTCTATTTAGACATAGCGGATCGCAACATTGGAGCCCAAGAGCGGCGAATGTCTCCGCGACTTCACAGCTTCCGTTTTAAAAGGAGTATTAGTGGGGCCGCGTGCCTATCTACCTGAACTCTGGGAGACTTTCCTTACTAAACCTAGGCTCTAGAAGCCTTGATCTGCGTCGAACCTGATGTGTGTGGGAGGAATGTGTAGATCTGCAACGTTTGCGGACGTACTCGAATCTGGTCTCAAGCTGATAGTATCAACAGAAGCCTGCCAACACAGAGAATTGGTTTGCGACAGAGACACATGCACTGCAGACGTCATGATCGGTCATGCGAAGTTCGGAACAGTTTACATTGCTTTTTTATATCGGAGGATATATGACGATCCTTGCTGGCAGAGCCTGCTGACATTATTCTCGCAAATGGCTGAAAGCTGTAACCCATCATCAGCTCGTAGCGACATGAAATTTCAGAGACAGCGCAACCAAGCTCCATAGGTATCATTGCGATGAATCCAAAAACGGGCTGTGGTGAATCCGCATTGCGCGCCGTAGCGTGCCTATGCTCTCAAATCTGCTCATCTGGTGGCATACATCTGCATATCATAGTTCCTAGCGATCTTGGCGATTGTCATCATATTGCATCTCTTAATTGTGGTCCATAACCTAGAGATTCTCTCTTTGATATCGTGACAGTTGACATATCCTTCGCACTACAGGATCGGCCTTTCCAGTCTCTTCAACTCTTTCTTTGGTATCTGATGCCCATAGAGGCTAATTAATGACGTCTCAATATCGAGCCATACGGATACGATGATGGAGATGAACATGGAGGTGTCAACACCAACCTCGACCTCTGCTCATACACATCACAAGTCAGCCGCGAGTCCTCAAGCCTCCATACCAGCCATGGGCATGTCTGGAATGGCATCGACCTTCTCGAGCAGTACGCATGTCACCCTATGGTTCACCGAATGGACAACGACAACAACGTCAACCTATGTGTTGACTATCTTCTTCCTCTTTTTCCTGGGTATCTTCAACCGATTCCTTAGTGCGCTCAAAAGCCAGTTGGAGATGAAATGGAAAGGACAGCACGAGACTAAGAGCACCTTGCCCTCCATACCTAACACGGAGAAGCTCGATCACAATGTTCGTGGCCACGCTCGACAATGGAGCCGTGCCGTACGACAGCAGCCTTTTGACATGGATGATAAAGAGAGGCAAGAGATCGAGCCCTTGAGTCCGGCAGAACCGCGATTAGTAGAGGCTGAGGAAATTGGCCTCCCACGACACCGACACGTATCCCCAAAGAGTTTTTGGATAGCGCAAGCACCCTGGAGCATAAGAAAAGATGGGATAAGCGCTGCTTTAGAATTTGTTCGAGCACTGATTGGCTATGTTCTGTATGTCTTTGACGAAAAATGTAGCAAAAATGACCGCAATACTGATACTTCGTTAGGATGCTTGCTGTCATGACTTACAATATCGGATTTCTGTTTGCGGTCACGGCAAGCGTGCTCTTTGGCGAGTTGTTGTTTGGGCGATACACACGAGGAGGCTTTATAAATATGGTTGAAGATGGCTGCCATTCTTAAGCAGCATGCCATCTCCGTTAAGGTAAAGAGCTATCATCCTTTGGTGGGTCCATATTCTGCACGGAGTGTGGTATTCTCGCAGGCAGCAATAGCAACTCCAGTGCGAACCTCAGCAAAGGAGTCATTCTTACAGATTTATGCTTGCAAATGGTGATAATCAGATTCTTCATCGCTGTAGCTGCGATTTGGCAGATGCGGATAAGCCAGTATAGTGCCAAAGTGCCCAAGCCCAAGTCACTCAACTAGCTACTTTACTTAGAAATGCTATATACCTAGATATCGTCAGCATTCTCATACCGTAAGAAATCTATATGGGGTTATTGAGTACGCCATGGGACGTGAGCAAACTTCGTTTGTCTGTCTTGAGTTGAATGCTGACACGAGAAAGCTGATGCATATCTCCTCATGAAAGCATGGCCTACCGAAGTGTCTGACACTTCGCTGATGGCCTTTGTGTTAGTCGTCTGCGCTAGGTCGTATGTTCGTAACGCCATGCAGGCAGCGCAAAGCGATGATGGGCACGTGGCGACAATGCGTGGGTCCAAGGCTAGGGGCACTCCAAAGAGTTGAGAGATTAGCCTTGATTGATTTAAGGTACTGGGAGCTCATTTCAATTCACGTGTATGATACTTCTCGGTGCGGTAACTAGTACCGTGGAGCTGTGAACCAATACCAAACTTCACACATCACAGCCACTACACGGTCCCTACCAGAGCTATTCGATGCAATCAACAATGCAAATTTCTGAGTCATGCGCATATACTTCTATTGGGTTTAGAACTTTGTATGTTCTTGCCACCCACACTACAGGTTGTTTCATATACACCACATCTTCAAAAAGTATCATTAGATTTCATAACTGACGACGATATCCGACACAGCGCACTCGTTCCCATCATGCCCTCGCCAAATTCGCACTCAAATCTTCAGGTTAATTTCTTTCCAAAATCACCTCAACGACGCAATAATAACTCTCGTTCATCGCCACGAGATAAAAGCCTTGCTGCCGCTTATAAGATCACTGCACCAATTTTACTACCTGAAGAAGAGCCAACGCATGGATTTGAATATTTTCCGTTGTGGTTAGGCATCAAGGCACTCTGGAGTGGGATCGATTGGTGTTTCGATCAGGCTTTCAAACGGCTGGAAGCTGTAACGAGCTTTCGCGAGAGTGAGAGCCAAAATTAGGAGGTGGACTATCGAACAAGCCGAACTCGAACAAAATTACCAACGAACACCTCAAAGACAAAGGAAAATAGATTCGACAACGCGAGCCGACGTAGCCGAGCCTGGTAAGCAGCTGAAGTAAGCTGCAACCATCTGGTTGTATCAGTGTTGCTATCCACCACCACCACACCTACTTGCTACCGCCAATAACACCGACAGCTCTCCACCGCTGATCCGCACCCCGGCAAACAGGCGTTTCATCGCGTATCGCCTGGGGTGGGATGCGATACATGACCAGATACTCCCCATAATGCAGCCACTCGGCATTTGCATCCTTACCACCAGCACTGTCCTTTAGTATATCCATCGCACGAAACACTGGACCCCGAGCAAAATGGGCCGGATCCACCGTAACGACCCACGTATCTTCGCCGTACCGCTCACCAAAGTGCTTGGCTACTACCTCTGCGTGAGCTAGGTTGTCATAGACGCTGATGAACGGAGAGGAGATGTTGGTTTGCTGGTTGAGGTGGGCAAGGCCAAATCGAGACAGTGCAGAGGTGTAGTTGACGATGGTGGTTTGGTTCTTAGAACTGAAGCCTGTGGAGAAGGAGTATCGAGTCTGAGAGTTTGTGCGGTGCACGCGGTAGACTTGAGGTGGCCAGGCGGTAGGAGCAGAAGTTGACCCCGATGGTGCATAGGTAGGATGGGGCTGCGTGGGCGTGTAGAGTGCTGTTTTTCATATCAGTATATGATTTTGGGAAAACTTGCAATAACCTGAAAGCTTACCTGTCATGGTGACACTGGATTCGATACGTCTCCAAAGACAAGCTCTGGTTGGATACAGAATGTAGCTAACGAGATATTCTGCTGGAGGTGAACTTCTTTGTAGGATTGTAAGACGTATTCCAGGAATGGTGATCAGAAACTTAAGAACGGGAACTTTTCTGGAGACATCATTACAGTAGGAACCAGAATCATTTCTTATATCGCTATACACCCGTATAACGTCCGATACGCAGAGAAGCGGTCAAAAGAGCCGGTCAAACGGTACAAATGCATCTGAATCAGGAGTTCGTTGTTCATGCTGGCTTCCTTCCCCGACGGCACATGGACATCGTTCCGTCTGCTCGAGTGTCGACTTCCCGAAAGCCAACAAAGAGACAGCGACATACAACGCCTCGTGCCGTCGGCAGGTTAAACCCGGTTGTGGGGACCGTCGTGATACATTCAGTATCGAAGTACAGTGCCGTAGTTGGGTTCCTCGTTTGGTGGAGAAGCTTAGGCCAAGTGCATGTGGTACAGGTCCTCAGTGTCAACGCTTCAAATGCCTTTCCCGATCAATGTCCGTTTGATATGCAGGTCACGGTCACTTGCATTCACCCGCAACACCTATACTTAGATTAGACATGTCAGTGTAGAAGGGTCTTAGCGAGACAGAGTTGAAACTACAGATGTGTCTTGATCGGAGACTCTAGAATAGAAGAGATCGCGCAAGAAGATGAGAATAGCAGGGAAATAAACTATAGACGAAGAGTGAAAACATGCAGACATGGAAAATTGGTGACGGCAATAAATCCAACCCGGCATTGAAAAGCCGATTCTCCAAGGAGGCTCCTGATTGGACTGGAGGCAGGACAAAAGCTTTGAATCTTGGGTTTTCGGATTGTCAGAGGTGTATAGGGATGCTGCCGATTTGTCATTTCATGAAAACCAAATTACTGGGTCGTGCAGGTAAGCGGGTAGATGCAGTTAGGGGATGTATCAGGTATTGCATCCTATTCGTCAAATATACAATATTGAAGACTGTATGCGTGCGGTACCTTCCGAGTACTGAAAACCAATGCATGTCTGCGATGGGGGTGGGAATTCGCAATAGGTACCGTCTCCAGAGACACGGAAGGAAAGCCGCCTGCGTGGAGTAGCGATTGCCCCTGTCAGCATATTCTCACCGCCACTTCCTCGGCGGCGTCGGCTGGCCATGATACTATGAGCATCTCACATATGAGATGTACGAAAGATAGGGTGGAGTACGCACGTCGAAGGATGTTTGGTTTTGATTCCGTGGCGATCTAAGCCCCATCAGGAATGGCGTCATATCTCCAAAGTCGGAAAAGTTGACTGACGACAGCCATCGCAAGCGCGCAGGCGAGCGTCGACGCTATCCATCCATACAGACGGTAGGCGGAGCTGTTCAAGGCATTTGTTGCACTTTAATCTGACATCTCGCCAGCCCATCCCACCCCTGCGCTGTCACAAAATACACGCCAAACGCCACAACCCGTCACCCACCACTACCCACGCTCGCAAACGCGCCGAAACCTCGCGAAGGCACTCATCGTCCACGTCACATATCCACAATGTCTTATTTCCGGATAACACTCATGCGCTCCGGCATTGGCATGCCTGAGAAGACGCAAGGTGTACTCAAAGCGCTCGGCCTCCGCAAACGCATGACGACCGTCTACCACCCCGTAACACAGTCCGTCGCTGGTCAAATCATGAGGATAAAGGAATTGGTTGATGTCAAAGAAGTCAAGAACCCGATGACTAAGGAGCAAATGCGCGCCGCGAGGAGACCGGATCCCGGATACTACATCGAGCAGAGGGCAGGCGAGGCTATGAAGGGTTACGAATAGATGCAAAGAGACAGGAATGACATGTGCTGTTCGCATGTAAATCAAGCTGCAAAAATGTATGCATATATGGCGTCATGGGACATGAGCCTTACGATCGAGCCGTTTTGCATGCTCACTTGGAGGACTAGGCTGGGCGGATGTCCGGTTGGTATGCTTTGCCCACTGTGCATAAGATAACCCAACCAGAATCCTCATTCTCATCACAGATACAAGTACAGTAGCTGTAGGTTTCCCGCCAAATGCGCGTACACGGTTGGTTTCGAGACGGCCGGGCAATTGGGCTTCGTGTCTAGTCACGAGAACCGGTCACCAGCTTTTAATCATTATGCCACAGTTTTGCCATCAGACATGCTTCGTCCACCCTGAGCACGCAACACTGACAGTAGCCGATAGCTGTCTAATGGATTCTTTGTTGTGGCTAGCGAACGAGCTGCAGTTTGGCTTACACACGACAGCTGAAGACTCTGCAAGTTTTCCCATAAGTATGAGAACTGACTTTATGAAGCACCACGGCGTCGCTGTAGTGCCTCTTGGCTGCTTGGCTCTCATTTCGCTTCGTGTGGAGGGTCAGCGCGGTGAGTTGAGTTATATTGGACATGTTTACATCCATGATTACATACACGGCGAAGCACTGGAGAGCGGCAAGCCACTCAAGGTGTTCACGCTGCATTAGAACATTGACGCTTCACCAGACCTTCCTTCGAGGAATCAACCAAAAACTTCTATGCAACAACCCCAGGCCCTATACCAAAGAAGTCTCTCTCTCTGTCATGCACCCACATACCCCTCGCAATAGTCTTAACAAACCACTCCTCCATACCCCACCCTATCGCGCTCATCATCCACAAAAACCCCAGCACACGCCAGAAGATACTATCCCTGAACCCCATCCGCTTTCCAAAGTCAATGATGTGATCTTCCAGCATGATGATCGCTGCCTGTCCGAGAAAGCACTTGAGCGCGCCGTCATCGTCAAACTCACGATTCACCAACATACTCGCCGCTCCATGAGCCCATCCAGATACGCCAAACGCGACAAAAAGCTGGACATATTTGGACGCGAAAGAGCCCTTGCACAAACCCAACACATCCCTGGTAAGCCAGGTACCAGGACTGGAGCAGATGCGCCGACACTGCTGATGCCATACCCTCGACCATGCACTACGCACACTATACAGGTCTTCAAGTTTGCCGAAGAGAGAAGGGCAGTCCCGTGGGTTGGCGAGATGCGTAGCTACGCTCACAACACCGACAGCCGAGTTTGCCATTTCCATTGATGTCATTGTGAGGAGTATATGAATCCAGGTATACCAGAAACGGGAGAGAAACGGTGAGGACGGTGGGAAGGGTTGGAAAGGCTTAATAGTGCGGATGTCGACCCAGGACCCATAAGGAGAGCCGGCGGAGTAGGAGACTATCACGTCTTTCATGAGGTAGAAGATGAGGGCTCGCAGGGTTTTGCGAGCGACAAAGGTGCTGAGTTGACATTAGTCCTGCTAGGAATGGAAAGCTGGAAATCATGGTACGTACAGACGGGGGTAGTCGGCCGGTACTTCCATGTACACGTTCTTGACTTGGTTACTCCAACCTGTGTAGCGAGGCGTTGTCGTGAGACGAAGCGCCCACCACATTCTACTCGGGAATGTCCTTCCTGCACCACCTGGCTTATCTTCGTAACTCTTTTTTGACACCTTGTCATTGTCCTTGTGTTTGTTTTCATCTCCATTCTTTCCATCCTTGCCGTACTGAATCTTGTACCACCCTTCTTTTTCGGGACTACCCAGTAAAACCCAGTCAACATAATTGAAAACGCAACACCATACCGCGCAGTTGATAGCATAGTGATTTCCCCAGCCTGCATGCCATTCTCGATACAGAGATTGCGTGACGAGTAAAACAATAAGTGGTAGACTAATGCTCACGCGGAGCAATTGACGCCTGGATCCAACGGCAAGGGTAAGAACGTTGACTAGGTTCAAAAGTGGGATTTGCAGTGTTATGATCTGAGGGGGCAGTTGGAACAGGGCCATTGCTACGAGTTTGGTTGTGCGGTCGCGAGCATGAGGGAGTGACAGTTGAAGGAACTAATACATGACGGCACATTGTGAAATTTAAATAAGAAATTACACGATCCTTCGATCGGGCATGTCTGTCAGCGTCCAGCGGGTAGTCGGAGACAGGGCTGACATGCTGGTTCAGTCCAATGAGAATCGTTCAAGTACGTTAGCGAATGGGTCCGTGATCTGACTTGTGTGCCTATGACTAGTTTAGCTAGTTGTAGTCGCCGGGTGGCGGTATACACGAAGATCTCAGAGGTTCAGCATCCTAATGCCAAAAATTGGTATCATTAAATGCTATAAGGTTGGCTGCAATCAATGGTTCGACCGAAAAGCCAGGGTTGAACACTATTAACGCGGTAGTGTGATTTAGCCTCAAATCTCTACGTCCTGAAAGCTTGCTCCGTCACCGTCGTCTTCGGCCGATGGCTGCCCAGGCTTTGGCCGTTGCGGTAAACTTGCTTCTATAGACTTCTCATCGCTCGGTTCAGGCTCGGAATCTTCCTCTTCGCTGTCTTGCTGTTTCTCCTGGTCCGATTGTGGTTTGAGATCTTCGGTTCGGGCTTTTTGTTCTTCGGTTTGCGTCTTGGGCTCGATCGAGTTCCGCTCGCTCTTTTCACTGACGTTGTCTTTTGGTGGTGGAGGAGGCGGTGCTGCTCCGTCTGTATCGCGATCGCGCCTTGGTTGCTCGGGTGTGGGTGGTGTCACCTCTGTGCGCGGGCTCATAACAGGGCTTCTAGGTTGCTGATGCTGTGATGATTGTTGAGGTGCTTGCTGAGAGCCTCCCGGACCGACACTTCGTAACCTGGGGTCTGCGTTCAGGTAGTAGCCCCTCACACCAACAATTCTGCCTTCCCGCTCGCAGCCTATGACCCAGTCTGGCACGACTACTGGGATGTTGTTCTCGACTGCCTTTTCCCATGCCGGTCCCCTGCCCTCAGTGCATACAAAGTGCGTGGTGTCGATGCGCACGTTATCCGCAATTTTAGCGCCGATTCGTTCAACGGAACGCTGCAGCGACTCGCGGAGAGCGGCGGGCATGTGGCCAGGGGTGATGGTGATACCAGACAAGTCTGTCATCTTGTGTGTCTGGACCAACAGCTTCTCACTGCTGAAGGTGCCCGCACTAGTCTTCAGAACCAGGTGAAACTGGTACTCGGTGTCGACTGCCAGGCCACTGAGCTTGGTGCTGTGTACGTCGCTCGGCTTGGGTATTGTGCCGGCCTTGTTGCCATTACGGTATAGAGTGAGGCTGCGCAGTTCGGCCGTCGCAATGTCGATGGGATCCCACTCGAGGACGACGGAAGTCTGGGTGGCATTGCGACACTTGAGGACGGGGGCTGAGGGGGTGCGCTGGCCAAAGGTACGGAAGATCTCAGACTGGAGCTCGTGGAAGGCTTTCTGTGCGTCGGCTTCGGCTTTGTAGTTCCTTCCCACGTCGATGTCCACCATAGAGCCAGACGAGATGTCCGGGGGTAGCAATATGGAGGGGAACTCGATCTAGCTCTACGTCAGCCAGGATGAACTGCAAGGGTGCGTTTGCGCTGAGCTGGGCGCTGCGAGGCATTGAGGGGGCTCACAAGACGCTTGTCTTCGGTCAGTAGCACTGCTACTCCGGCGTCGACCTTTCCGACTGTGAGGGAGACGAGCATTTTGTGCTAAAGTGTCTGAAGTTGTCGAACTACAGGAACGTACGTGTATTGTTTGGTACAGCTGAGCCGCGTACCTGACCATCATTGGCGCGGCCCGAAGAATCGCCGTGGGCTTTTGGCGCTAGCCCTCACGCTCCCGGCTCAACCACGATATGTCCTGCAATGTAGCCTGCAAACCTTCTCCAAAGAAAAAAAAAAAGAATTCGCGTCTTCTCGTCCAAACTACTGAGTACATGCCAATCATTACTTAGTTGGAAGTCTGTTCCTGCTATGTTCAAATTCAGTCGTTCGAGGTTTGTCTGGGCGTCATGTCTCTAGTGATCAACAGCCTGTTACTTTTGCCTTGCATGATTTACCAACTATCGACCACTGGAGAATACAGAACAATCAGCCGGTATCTGCACAGGAATGGACTTGGCTACAACTACCATGTAGCATACGAGTGCTGCTAGGGGGAATTTTCCAAGTTCAGAGTCGACGACAAGACCTAAAGTGTACAACTAAACATTTCCAACTGATGTGTACATTTCTCAAGGAGAGACTCTATGTGCCCACAATGCCGCGAGAGATGTATCAAAGATGGCTGTTGAGCACTCTCTCGCAGCTGGTCCAACAGAAGGGTACCATGGTAAGCAAGAGCACTGTGGCTGGCTGCTAGCGTGTCTTCCGGTGTCTATGCTTTGTCCTCAACCCTGGCGATTCAGTTCACATGTTTGCATTTTCACAGCACAACTCATTCCGACAAACTCGGAATTCCGCATCTAGCAACTCGCGATCAGTGACGTCATCACACACACTGGACCTAGCGCCAGAGGCTAGGCGTGGTCTTCAGGACATGCATCGGTGCGGGTATGCCCATGGTTGTCGGTGGTACATCACGTGAATTGGCGTCTAGAGCGTAGAACGAGATGCGCATGTCAACTGTTCTCAACTGTGCTGCATGCCGCGGAAGCAGGGACACGACCGCGTTCAGAATGGCATACTGGTGCCATGCGAATCGCAATGCCGGGGTCCGCTGTCACAGCTCCATACCCCAGAAGGCCTCCGAGGCTGGCCAGTTGGGATCGGCGATGGCACAGTGGGGAGGCCCGGAGACTAACGTCTTTATCGTGGTTGCTTGTTCCAAGCGCGTTCAACACTTTGACGCAGAGATTTTGGAGGCGGCTCAACAGAAGGCCGACACGTGTAGCCGACGCTGCTGCCGCCATAGGCATGGGCATTTCCAAGCTTCTGGCCAATTCCTTGCGGCGCGTTTGACATGGGATTGAAACCTGACCGAGCAGGGCGTTAGACTAGAGTGGGCTTAGGTCAGCCGTTCGCGATAAGTCCCGCGATGCACGGTTGCCGTCCTATGATGCATCGCGAGTTCCTGCGTCGACGGCTTGTGGTAGCTACCATCAAGACACGAGCCCTGCCAGAAACCTTCCCGTCATTCAGTCTCTTCCTCTGCGCATCTCCTCCAAACATTGGACTTCCTCTCCAAACATCTCATCTGGTATACATTACCCCACCCACCTCTTCTCCACTATCTCGATCGTCTGATTACCCCATTGTTTTCTCCATACTGCCTGCAGGAAATAATTCCCTCGACACCGCTCCACGCGCCGTCACCTAAACCTCGCCCACTTCTCGCAAGTAGCACCCCTCCTACACCACTCCGACACACATTGTCACCATGGTTCTCATTGAGAATCAAGAATACCTCTGCGAAGAGGAGAAGCGTCTGAAGCAGGACCGGGAACGCACCGCTTATTGGAAGCGATGGGGTCCCTACGTTGCCGAGAGGCAGTGGGCAACTGGTCAGTTTTCTTAATCAATATGCTCGAGCCAATCTAATTTGTACACAGTCCGCGAAGATTACTCGTGAGTACCCTTGCTGCCACCGCCATTGTCTGCTACTAACCAATTTCTCTAGCCCTGACGGAGATGCCTGGAGCCGTAAGTACGCTTGACCGACACAATCCTCAGCCACTAATGCTATACAGATTTCACGCACGACATGGCACGGTCGCGCGCCTTCCGCTGGGGCGAAGACGGCATTGCTGGTGTGTCCGACTCGCACGGTTTCCAGAACATTGCCTTTGCTTTCTGGAACGAGAAGGAGTAAGCGTGCAGCATGCAGTATTTGAAATGTATACTAACTCCTCTGCAGTGACTTCCTGAAGGAGCGCCTTTTCGGTCTCTCGAACCCCCAGGGTAACCACGGCGAGTCGCTCAAGGAGTGTCACTTCCATCTGGACAACACGCCAACTGTAAGTTGGAATGGCTCATCGTTTACATGCTGCTAACTCCGCTCGCAGCACTCGTACATGAAGTTCCTCTACAAACTCCCACAGCGAAAATTCCCATACGAAGACCTCATCGAGACAAATGGAAAACGAACGCGATTGGACAAGGAGTACAACCTCGTCGACACCGGCATCTTCGATGACGATCGGTATTGGGATATCTTCATTGAAACCGCAAAGGAGGCAGACGATCCTGAGGAGTTGTGCTTCCGAGTCACGGCTTACAACCGGGGACCAGAACCAGCGCCGCTGCATATTGTACCTCACTGTTGGTTCAGGAACACCTGGGCATGGGGTCATGAGGACGAGAAGCTGAAACCATCCATCACCAAGATTGGTCCAACAACGGCACAGTCAAAACATCACAAGCTAGGGGACCGCTACTTCCAGCTTTCACCGTCCCCTGGCACCGGCCCAAGTGGCGAGGATGTTCAGCCTGAACTTCTCTTCACCGACAACGATACCAACTACAAGGGGCTATGGAATGTTGAGAACAAAGTTCCGTTTGTCAAAGACGGAATCCATCGCCGCATCGTAGATGAGCAGCTGGACGCTGTCAACCCTGAGAACACTGGCACCAAGTGTGGCGCCTGGTACGCTTTCGACGAAGGCGATGGTGTCCCGCCAGGCGAGTGCGCTGTTGTCCGCTTTAGGCTGTCGAAGAGAAACGACGGGTTCCTTGACGAGGAAATGTTTGACGACATCATCGAACAGCGCCGCGCTGAGGCCGATGAGTTCTACTACAGAATAAGCCCCCTTCCAATTGCTGACGATCTGCGCAACATTCAGCGTCAAGCCTTTTCCGGTATGATGTGGTGCAAGCAATATTACCATTTCATCTGGGACCAGTGGGCGAACGGTGACCCTGGCATGCCTCCTCCACCACCTGGTCGGAAGGCTATACGAAACAAAGAATGGAAGCACATGTACTTGGACGATATCCTTTCTATGCCCGACTCTTGGGAGTATCCCTTTTTCGCGGCCTGGGACAGCGCGTTCCATTGCATTACACTTGCCATGATCGACCCAGACTTCGCCAAGAAGCAGCTGGACCTCTTCACACGCGAATGGTACATGCACCCGAACGGACAATTGCCAGCATACGAGTGGAATTTTGGCGACGTGAACCCTCCAGTACACGCCTGGTCGCTTTTCAGGGTGTTCAAGATCGAGCGCAAGATGTACGGACGCGAGGACTTTGACTGCCTCGAGCGCGTTTTCCAGAAGCTACTGCTAAACTTCACCTGGTGGGTCAACCGGAAAGATGCTGACGGAAAGAACATTTTCGAAGGTGGCTTCCTGGGTCTCGACAACATTGGTCTTTTCAATCGTTCGGATCCTTTACCCACTGGTGGTGTCCTGGAACAGGCTGACAGTACTGGCTGGATGGGCTTCTATTGTTTGAACATGTTGAACATTTGCCTCGAGCTTGCCAAGCGACGACGCATCTACGAAGATATGGCCTCCAAGTTTTTCGAGCACTTTTTGATGATCAGCGATGCCATGCAGTTCCGCAGCGAGGGCGAGTCGAAACCACTGTGGAATGAGGAGGACGGTTTCTACTACGATGCCATCTCTTGGGGTGGCCCATGGTCTCACCAGATGCCCGTCCGTTCTTTGGTCGGTCTCATCCCTCTCTACTCAACCATGACACTGGAGCCGGAGGTTATCAATCGCCTGCCAAGTTTCAAGAAACGAGTCGAATGGTTCATAGCCAACCGCCCGGAACAATCGAAGCGCAACATCCATACGCTCTCAAAGCGTGGCCAAGGAAACCGCATGCTCTTGTCACTTGTTAACGAAGACCGACTGAAGCGCATAATGAAGAGGATGTTGGACGAGGATGAGTTCTTTGCTGACCACGGTATCCGATCGCTTTCGAAATATCACAAGGACCATCCCTACTCCATGGACGTGAACGGCCAAAAGTACGAAGTTGCTTACCTTCCCGGTGACTCGGACAGCGGACTTTTTGGTGGCAACAGCAACTGGCGAGGTCCTATTTGGCTAGCCGTCAACTTCCTACTAATAGAATCTTGTCAGAGATTCCATCTCTACTATGGCAACGATCTGAAGGTAGAGTGCCCTACTGGGTCGGGTGACTACATGCATCTCGGTCACGTCGCAGAGGAGATTCAGCATCGTCTTCAGCATTTGTTTGCTCGTGGTGATGACGGTAGAAGAGCCATCAACGACGGCAACGAAATGTTGGACTTTGACCCGAACTGGAAAGACTACATGTGGTACCACGAGTTCTTTGATGGTGATACCGGCCGTGGCTTGGGAGCGACACATCAGTGCGGCTGGACCGGACTGATTGCGAAGATGATTCATGACACTGGGTAAGTTCAATCAACATTTGTATGATACATTGACTAATAATGTGTAGTATGACTTGTCGTCTTCCACAAACGCCACGTACGCCAGGAGGTGCTGCCGACCATTACTTTGACGATGTTTTCACTACGACAGGCAAGCCAACCAAGCGTCAGACTCTCCGCCGGTCTTCGACAAGCCGTAGCATAGGCTTCCGAAGCGACTGGGGTGAGACATCCACCAATGGCGAGGAAGACGACGTCACAAGCCCGATAAAACGCAAGAACTCTGTCGGTGTTCTGGACCAAGAGGCGCTTGAGCAGAAGTCCGCGATGGAAGATCGCCTCCATCACTATGTTAGTGGTCAGCTTCAGCGCATCAAGACAGGCATGCAGGATTATGAGCCAGATGAGTTCGAGACCATGACCGATGGCGGGTCCGACTCAAGGCCAACAACGCAGAATGGTCGTCGCAATGGACGTGGGCGCGACAAAGGTGACTACTTCGAGCAAGATCCCTATTTCAGCAAATGAGTGTCACCAGAGGGTGTTTGGGGATCTGGTTTGGAGTGATAATCATCAGCGTTACAAGTTGTTAACAGGCGAACCCTATATCCTAGACCTAGAGTAGACCTTTTCACGATACAGCGACATCTTCATTCAGGCTTAAATATGTTTCCTACGTCATGTCCTCGCAATGGTCCTCTGAGCCCTTTGCAAAGTTTCCAAACTTGACCGATGCCTAGTAATCGAGTTCGCCAGTTCGCAATCGTCTGCAACAATGTATCTGCGCATAGAAACACCCTACATTCCCATTTCAATCAGAGAGTCCACCAGCAAGTACATCTCATCTGCAGTAGAGCCGTTCAACGCTCCCAGGTGCACAGGTATCGTATGAAACTACCATCATCCGGTGCATATGGTATGGTAAAGTTGAAGTCAAAATTGTTGCCTCAACGTGTCGTTGGAAACTATGGAGTTGTAGAGGAAGCTCGACATCACTCACATCATGAATCTAACCAATTCATACCCTCATGCGATGGATTATGGGTTGAATCATTCTGAGAAAGATTTCGTAACTCAGTGGTGTAGTCGAAGACGACTTTCGAAAGGGCGTTTGCCTGGCTAGCCAATCAAATCTTATCGATAAGCTTTGCTTGGT